AGTACATGTGAAAATATTAATAATTTAATAAAAAAAATGCAAAAAAAGAAACCAAAAAAAAAATAAAAAAAAAAGAAGAAAAAAAAATTTCCTGTTTACAAGTTTGAAGGAACAATCAGAGGGTTCAGAAAATGTTGAGGGGACACATTTCCTGCACAGATGCAGCATGCATATGAATCTACTTGCCCCATCTGGAAAAGGAAACAGAATAAAGTCCAACTTTTTGAATAACTGAACTTTATTAGAATGGCTTACAGGAATATGAGGAAGCAGTTACTGGAGCATAATGGACTAAAACACAGCTGTTATGAAACTTGAAACCAAGACGTGATACCGTTTATGAATACTGCATACTTGGAGCACACTGCACATTTGTAGGCATATCTGAAGAGCATCCCATCTTGGTGGCTAAAATTCTCTTCTAAGGTGCATGACTTCTCAGTTTCTTCATTTGCGTTAAGAACAATGAATCCTGGTACTTTCAAGGGAGTTCTTGAACCTGTTTTGAGAGGTGTATTTTCTGCCTTAATCAGCTTCCCTTCAGAAAGAATCATTCCAGTCTCCAGGAAAGTGTTAACACAGCTGCAAATGTTTCAGGTTTCTGCATCTTGTCTTTATTTGAGGTTGAATAAAGCCAATAAAAATTGTCCTAGTTTTTCAGGTTCCCTCTGCATAAGTTCTTGGTGTTTTCTAAGATTTGAAAATAACTTTACAGGCTTTTACAAATTTCTCACGTTCATGATGATCCTCTGGTGTGAAGTCTCGAGTATAGTTAACAACAGAGCTTGGTTTAAGCACACGCCAAATTATTCCCCATGGAAACTTTCCTGGCAGTATGAATTTTCAGATGGTTTCTTAGACCTGAGAGGCTGGTAAAGACTTTTCCATGCAGATTACATTTTTAAGTTTTCCCTCACATGTGAATACTTGTGACGTATCCTCAGGGTGTTTTGCAGACAAAAGGTACCTCATATTGACTAACATGGTGGTTGAAACAGGTATGGTCCCCATGGACCCATGTTTGAATGCTTGGCCCAAAGGGAGTGGCACTATTAGGAGGTACGCCGTTGTTTGAATAGCTGTGGCTCTGTTGGAAGAAATGTGTCACCATAAGGCAGGTACTGAGGTCTCATATATGCTCAAGCCACACCTACTGCAAAGCTCACTTCATGGTGCCTGAGCATGAAGATATAGACATCTCACTTCCTTCTCCAGCCCCATGGCTGCCTGCTTGTCACTACGTTTCCCATCGTGAGGGTAATGGACTAACTCTGAAACTGTAAGCAAGCTCCAATTAAATGCCTTCCTTTCAAAGAATTGCCATGACCCTGGTGTCTTTTCAGAGGAATTAAACCTGAAGCACACTTTTAAGGTTTCACTCCTGAATGAATTCCCTAATGTGTTCTAAGAAATGAACAAATAGTAAAGGGTTTCTCACATTCACAAAGGTTTCTCTTTAGTATGTATTCATGTTCATCTGTCAGCTTAGAAGTTGCACCTGACTGTGGGCCCATGGCACAGTTGCTTGGGAAGAAGCTTAGTGGAATTTCTAGTTCTGCTCTCACTGGCAGTACCATAGCTACCACGTGCAGTTTTTAACTATGGGTCTATTGTTCTGTTTACCAATAAAGATTTAGTTGGGTGTTGGGGTGAAACCTTGCTAGTTCAGAGAGGCCAGGAAGCAACCAAATAACCTTCCCTTTTTGCCAGAGACCCAGCAAGAGAGTCTCTCCAACCATCTCAAGCCAGAAGACCACAAAACTCCAAGTCACTCCCTACTCCTTCCTGTGAATCTATCAGTCTTCTATACCTCTTCATACTCTCTAGGACTAATCCCTGTCAATTAGATCTGGGTTCTGCTCCCAGGTTGATATTATTTAAACTCAGGTTTCACAGTGTGATCAAATATCCCAGAACATATTCCAAGAGTTGAACCTACAGAAAAGAATTTCTCACATTGGCTACATTTCTAAAGTTTCTCAAATGTATGTAATCTCTGATGAGTTTTAAGATTGCCTTTTGTGGTAAAGGACTTGTCACATTCACTACATTTGTAAGACTTTTCTCCCGTGTGCATTCTCTGATGTATCCTAAGAGATGAATCCCAGGTAAAGGATCTGTCACATTCACCGCATTTGTAAGGTTTCTCTCCTGTGTGGATTCTCTGATGACTTCTAAGATTGTCTTTTGTGTTAAAGGATTTGCCACATTCACTACATCTGTAAGGTTTCTCTCCTGTGTGGATTCTCTGATGAGTTCTAAGATTGCCTCTCCCTGTGAAAGATTTTTCACATTCGCTACATTTGTAAGGTTTCTCTCCTGTATGGATTCTCTGATGAGTTCTAAAGGTCACTTTCTTGGTAAAGGATTTGTGACACTGACTACATTTGTAAGGTTTCTCTCCTGTATGGATTCTCTCGTGATTTCTAAATGTCCCTTTCTCAGTAAAGGATTTGTGACACTGACTACATTTGTACGGTTTCTCACCTGTATGGATTCTCTCGTGATTTCTAAATGTCCCTTTCTCAGTAAAGGATTTGTGACACTGACTACATTTGTACGGTTTCTCACCTGTATGGATTCTCTCGTGATTTCTAAATGTCCCTTTCTCAGTAAAGGATTTGTGACATTGACTACATTTGTACGGTTTCTCACCTGTATGGATTCTCTGATGAGTTCTTAGATTTGAACTAGTTTTAAAGCTTTTGTCACATTCACTACATTTGTAAGGTTTCTCACCTGTGTGTCTTTTCAGATGTGTTCTAAGATTTGAGGCACTTGTAAAGCATTTGTCACACTGACCACATTTGTAAGGTTTCTCTCCTGTATGGATTCTCTGATGAGTTCTAAGATGGTCTCTTGTTATAAAGCATTTGGAACACTGACTACATTTGAAAGGTTTCTCTCCTGTGTGGATTCTCTGATGACTTTGAAGATGGTCTTTTGTGGTAAAGGACTTGTCACATTCACTGCATTTGTAAGGTTTCTCTCCTGTGTGGATTCTCTGATGACTTTGAAGATGGTCTTTTGTGGTAAAGGACTTGTCACATTCACTGCATTTGTAAGGTTTCTCTCCTGTGTGGATTCTCTGATGACTTTGAAGATGGTCTTTTGTGGTAAAGGACTTGTCACATTCACTGCATTTGTAAGGTTTCTCTCCTGTGTGGATTCTCTGATGACTTTGAAGATGGTCTTTTGTGGTAAAGGACTTGTCACATTCACTGCATTTGTAAGGTTTCTCTCCTGTGTGGATTCTCTGATGTATTCTAAGATATGAGGCACTCAGAAAGGATTTATCACATTCACCACATTTGTAAGGTTTCTCTCCTGTGTGGATTCTCTGATGTATTCTAAGATATGAGGCACTCAGAAAGGACTTGTCACATTCACCACATTTGTAAGGCTTCTCTCCCATGTGGATCTGGTAATGCTTTTCAAAGTCCCATGTGTTATAAAAACACTTACCACATTCTGTACATTTGTAGGGATTTTCTCTACAGTAGATTTTGTAATGTACTTTGAGTTGTGAAAAATGGAGAAAGGATTTACTACATTTCGTGCATTTAAAGGATTTGTCTATACTATGGACTCTCTGATGCCCAATGAGACTTGAGTGAGTCTTGAAGAATTTTCCACATTTCCTGCATTGGTATAGGTTCTTCCTGCAACAAGTTTGTTTTAGTGTGATTTCTGTATTAGACTCAAAAGATTTATCATACTCTGTATTTTTGTAGTCTTCCTTTACTCTGAGAGTTCTCTGATTTTCGCTAATGATGGAACACAAATTAAAACAGTTTACACAGTCTGTATATTTGCAAAGTTCTTCTCCAGCTTTGCTGCTTTTGTGTCTGTTGATGTTTAAGGTTTCAACACAGGCATCTCTGTGGTTACCAAATCTGTACTTGTTGTAATTTTCAGCAGTATCACTTGTGTTATAAGGCGTACATTGGCAGGATTCATGAATCACTTTGCCAAGCTCATTGCATTTGTAAGTCTTCTCTTGGATATTTTCATGATCATGGATAAAATGCTTTGTGCCTCGATGCAAGATCTCCTCACATTTACCACATGTGCGATGGTTCTCTGAAAAAATTAGTGCAATTATGGGTAACAGCAATTAATTCATGAGTAACAGGTTCAAACCTAGTGTTTTCTATGACGTATAAACTAGTAACTTTAAAGAACAGAGCTCTTAATAGAGGACATTTCTATTTTAAATCACTAAATTGCCGCTCCTAAAAATCTCCAATCTGATCTATATCAAAGCACAGGAACAAATAACAGCCTACTCATTCTTGTTTTCCTTTCATTATTATTTTTCATTTATTTGACATCCTCACTGCAGTCTCCCTTCCCTCCTGTCTTTAGGTTTCCTCGCCACACCTCCCCTCTACTCCCCAACAATTTCTCCTCTGTTTCTGTTCTGAAAGGGGCAGGCCTCCCATGGGCCTCAACAAAGCATGGTATATTAATTTGAGGTAGGACTAAGCCCCTCCCTTTGTATTAAGGCTGGGCACTGCAACCCACTATGAGGAATAGCTTCACACTAGCAGGCCAAAGAGTTAGGTAATGCCCTGATCCTGCTGCTAGGAGTCTCCAAAATAGACTAAACTGAACAACTGTCACACATTTGAAGAGGACCTAGGTCAATCTCATGCATTACTTTCTTATTCTTACATAAACATTGTACTTTGCAGCTTGTCAGACAAGTAGGTGATTGAGCAGTAAAGAACTTAGAGAAATAACTTCTGTGAATGATCACATGAAGAACGTTTCACATGAAGAACGTTATGTGTTTGAGACAGAGTCACACAGTACCGCTTTGGTCAGTTAGGAACTCATAGCTCAGGTCAGCTGGGAACTCACCATGTCTTCCCTCTTCAGTCTCCAAAGGCAAATATTAAAATCATGCTGTGCCAGTACTAAACATAGCAACTTTATATCAAAAATAAATAAACAAAAACAATATTCTCACAAACAGCAGCTCTTTCTCTGAAACCTTTTGCATTGTTCAGAATCAGAAATTGGAGAAGAGTCTAAAGTGGTAGCAAAATTAAATTATTCTAATTTTTATGAATACCGTAATATATTACCTTGCTCCTGAATAAAGAATTCGCTACTCTTCTAGAGAACACAGGAAATGTAAATGAAGCTCCATTAAAAATTTATATCGATAACCATAATTTCCCTCATTCCTGGGATTTCCTAGTTTCTGAGAGTTTACTGATACAAATGTAGGGAAATAAAAAGGATGAATCAGGGATCCTAAGAGAAGGGAACTCTTACCCACAAAAAGTAGATTGCAGTAATTCTCCAACATCACATCCATGTACAAAGCCCTCTGAGCACAGTCTAGACATTCCCATTCTTCCTGTGAGAAGTCCACAGACACATCCCTGAATGATAACAGACCCTGCAATGGAAAATTACTCAATTACCATGCACTGCTGCACAAAATGATTTCTTGGTTAAGAAATGAGACCTAAGAAATAAGACCTAATGAATTAGAGATGTTTGTGATACAGATGAGGCATGACAATTTTTAAAGGACAAACGTTTTATAGAATTGCTATGTTGCTACTTCTTCAGAGAAAACTTATAGTAGGACTTATTACATTGCTTACATTCATAAGGTCTCTCTCCTCCATGACTTTTCTGATGTGTTCTAAGGCCTGAGTAACAGAAAAAGAATTGTCATAATCACTAAATTTGGAAAATTTGTCTCTAGTTTGCAGTCTGTAATGTCTTAGTGTTCTTGAAAATGGCATTTGATTCATTCCCAGCACA